AGGGCATGTTGACAGATTAAGGCTGCTTCTGGTTTGTGCTCCACTAACGCATTTAGCGAAGATGATGAACATGGAGCGAAGAGGGGGGGCTCAGAGAGACAGAGAGAGAGAGAGAGAGAGAGAGAGAGAGAAGGAAAAAGAGGATGAGAAAAAGAAAAAGAGAAAGAACATGCACATGAACCCTAAGGGATTAATGTGTTTACATTACCTGGGCTGTGATCTATCACCAACCTCGTCAACTTCTATTATGCATCACATACATAAGCAAGCAACAGACCTGGGAGCCCCTGCAACTCACTCATACTATTTCAATTGGATTAAGTCAGTGCAAATATCTAGAGCACAGCTCCCACACTGTGGTTTTAGCATTCTGGTAGTCATTTGATTTGTACGTTGTATCACTTTACCTTCATGAAGGCATTGCAGGAGTACCTCCTACATGCCTCAAGAGCTTTAAAGTAGTATGGGATTTAGATGATTACCATATGGCACCTATAGCACCATCAAAACAAACACGCTTTTTAGCCTAGCCGTGGGTCTGGTTAGACAACAGTCAGGCACGGAAGCCCTCAGATCATGAATCAGAATATACAGGTACACACCAGTGAGAGGAATAAGGGAATGTTAAGTATGTGGATTCACCATCTGTGATATTCACTAACATGAGGTTTATTTTGTCCCAGCTGCAGTCGCAGATCTGTATTGTGTGTAAAACACTCAGATGGAGAGGTCTGGCATCACTGTATAAATGCTGACAGTGGAGTCTGCGGCAGGGCCCCTGAAAGAGCTCATATTCACACTCAGGCTTCATTATATCCAATCAATATTCGTTTAGTCACTGAGCCTATTGACTCATTTCTGAAATAATATTACAGGTCATTTGTCTTGTCATGGAGTACGGAGAATTATCCCTTTTATACCATCCCCCCCATTTGGAAAAGGGGGTATGGGGCGAGTCTGGATTTGCTCTATGGATACAACTGCAAATAAATATTTTTGATAAAACACTGAAAAATCAATGGGTGCTTCCTGTGATCCATCTCGAGTGAATCAATCATAATCTGCACAGCTGGCAGTGTGGTGCAGGAGGACGGCGTGGCAGTGAGAGAAGGGTGCAATCTTTGTCTGATACCTCTCATTTTGGAATCGCTTCTCATAATAGGGTCATCATTTCATCACTTAGCCAATCCAGAGCCCTGCCATTCAGCCTTGCGGGGATCTTGGTGAGTAGGGGGAGGGGGGACGGGCCCCATCAGGAGTAAACTGAACACACACACACGCACGCACGCACACACTCTCTCCATACATCTTCATTCGAGTCAATAAAAGAAAAAGAGATCGCAAGAACAGAGAAGAGATCAGAAAATAGATTATCTCTCCTGAAAGCCAAATTGGCTCATTGTGCTTCATCTGAACTGTGTGATTTTCAAACTTAAATAAAATCATCAAGTCTGAATTGTGTATCATGTGAGCAGCAGTTGTGATATTTATCAGGTAAAACATTAATCATATAAATCAAATGATTTAAAACTGACTGAGTGTTGTATCAGAACATACATGCATGTGCTTGTGCAATAATTATCACTTCCACAAGTGAATAAAGTGAATTTAATTGGTGGCACAGTTAAGTTTTATCTGCAAGTGTGTGTGTGTGTGTGTGTGTGTGTGTGTGTGTGTGTGTGTGTGTGTGTGTGTGTGTCTGCATGCCTGTGTGTTGGGTGGGTTGAGTGGTGCATTTCACGGACTGCTTGGTGACATAAGAAGACTTCCTCAACATGGATCTGAACAAATTCAAAACATAGACAAACAGTCAGTTATTATTTTTAATACATTTGGGTAATAAACAACGTTATACCAGCAACATTACCGCTATAAAAAACACAAAAAGTGCAGCAACAGCTGATGTAATGGCTATCACATTTTAAAATACATAAATAAAACGGGTAAAATTACTGCTGTAATAATAATTACTTTAATTATAATGGCTAATCATGGCTGTATGGGATTCCAGTTGTTTAGTCAAGTAGCATACGGCACATATGTTTAATCATTTAATAACCCCCCTCTTCAAAAAAAAAAAAAAAAATGCAAGGTCAAAAATAAATTACATCCATTATTTGCAGCAAATCTCCCCAAAGCATTTGGAGCGAAAACTGTTTTGAATTTCAATTGGCTTCCAAGTGGCAAAAGCCCTCAGCTAATACATCAAAGAAAAATTGGTGTCAACTAATCGGTTTAGGACACAGATTTAGAATGGTTAAAAATCCCATGAACACTTCAAGCATTTTTCTGTATACCACTAAAGGCTTGGGAGCAGCACAGCTGACCTTGTGCGCTCCAGAAACCTGTCCGCCACGACATTAACTGACTGTTTAACTCACCCAGCCACGCAATTAGTCCGCCACAACGCATAATGTTGTGTAATAATAGCCTCTATATCCAATTTAGATTACACTTGCTCCCTAAGGCATTTTAAGTGGCATGCACCATCTTTCATTCACTTCTTCTTTGCCACGTAAAGCCGTTTTCATGCGTCAAAACCGAGGTCGTCCTCTCAGGGAAAAAAAAAAAAAAGGATAAGCGATAACGAAGAGGAAGCGACAAAGTTAGAAGCTGTCAAAACACCACACATCGAGATTTAGATTCGGATCAGCATATTGCATGAAGGCAACCCACTTTTACGCACCTACAAACACAAATGCAGTTTTCGACATTGAAAAAAAAAAAAAAAAAAAAAAAAAAAAAACCCGCAAATGAACAAAACTATACTCACCTACACCTCTTCCTCTACCAGTGCAGTGCTGAGAGGTGGTAGCAGTTGCCATAACCTACTCCTATTATAGGCTCCGTGATCTCAAATTATGGGTCCTCCTCCTACTTCAGAGAGCAACTCTCAACAGAAACGCATTAAGGAGGGCACATGACACAGACCCTTCAACCGAGGCTCTCTCTCGTCTCTAAACTTTGCCGGTATCTTTTAAGCAATAAATAAATGCAATGCATAATGTCACTGATCCTGCATGCCACTTTGCAACAGCTCCCAGCGGCACAAAGCATTATAAAATGTGGAAATTTTCTTTTATATCACGGGATGACGGACGTTAATGTCGCTATAAGAAGAATATACCTGTGTCTACTAATGAGGCTATATTATGCCATTTTCACAACATAACATCACACTGTCTCTGCCGGCTCTTGTCGCTGTTGTGGCTGCTCTTATGAAAAAAAAAAAAAAAAAAAAAAAAAAGTTGCAGTAATTAGTTGACTGTCTAAAGGCTGTGAAACTGGGTCTCATAGTATCACTGTCATCTGATTAGGCTGTACTGTAGGGTCGCTTTGTGTATCCATTCTTCTTTCTGTTCTCCTTCCTCTCTCTCTCTCTCTCCCTCTCTCCACTCGTGTGTGTGTGTGTGTGTGTGTGTGTGTGTGTGTGTGTGTGTGTGTGTGTGTGTTCCTAAGTCTGCGTCGGCTCCCACTGTACCAGCGTCATCGTTCTCTGCTCTCTAGAGGTTTTCAGAGCGTAAAAAAAAACACGTGAGTGTGTGCACACACTCTTTAGCAGCGCCTACAGCGATCCCTTTCGGCTTATCTGAGACTTGAACTGGAAAGTCAATCACCAGAATGAGCAGCTCTTAGATAGCCTATTTGAAACACAGTTAAAAATAATTAGTATAGCCCAGTAATATTTCTTGACGCCACGTTAGTTATCCGCAACCCATTAAACAGGTAAAGCTATTTTTGAATGCCTTATAAAATATAATATTTATTAGAAATACTACTGCTACTACTACTAATAATAATAATAAAACAACAATAATAATAATAATGATAATAATAATGACGACAATAATATTAATACAAAATCATAATTTAATAATTAATTTTTAAATTTTTATTTTATGTATCATTGCATAACAGACATTTGGCAGATGTCTAATGCCCATTAAATATAAAAAAGTAGTTGCCGATAACGGTAACATATTAAATGGCCTATCCAATATTTCAGCAAAGAAATATATCTGCAGTGATCAAATGAGATTACATCCACTGGTCCAGGCGGATTTGGTGTAGTTGGCACTAATCTGCCCTGGCTTGAGGGTTTATGACTTTCTGAGTGTGTGTGTCTGACTGGTTTATTCCAGGATCTATTACAAAAACTATTTAACCGTCGCCACAGTAAATCGTTCAAACACAAGTGGCGGCGCAGACTAAACATAGCTACTTCTACCACCACAACACACAAATGGCAGCGAGGAAAAGTTTGTTGGCATACAATAACCGTTCTGATAGAGCCGTTCGGTCGAGTGCTGTTTGCGCCATCTTACTTGCACTTTTCAGCTGTCATATATCTTACCAATGCAATATGCGTCTGGCGTTAGAAAGTCGACAATGCACAATAGCAGTAATCCATCTGAAACTCCCACTGCGGATTTTAACACAAGGCGCACGGAGATCACGGAGCACCAGTCTGTTGATATAACGCACATATTTAAAATGACGACTTTTTTTACGCACAAAGAAAGAATAACAAAAAGAGAGCACAGCAGTGGAGCGCCTTTTTAATTCCTGCCGGTATCTTGCAAGCCCATATCCTGGCACACAACAGCCGATTTGTTATTGATCAAGTGTGAAAGTGACGGCTTCGTATTTGGGAAAAAAAAAGAAGAAAGTTGGGAGTTGACAGACTCGCATGATGTCGCCATCCAAAGGGGGGGCTGCCAGACGCACTTGAGACTTACTGCAACGAGCCTTGTTAAAGAGGAAAAAAAAATAGAGAAATACAGAATGAGAAGGATTGTTAGTTAACGCGAGAGAAAGGATGGGGTGAGGAAGAGAGAGGGAGAGAGGGGGAGAGAGAGAGAGAGAGAGAGAGAGAGAGAGAGGGAGAGAGAGAGACAGAGAGAGAGAGAGAGCGAGAGAGAGAGCATGGATTTGGGCAGGGCTGTGGTTACCCAACATAAGCTTGCCTTTTCCTTCGGTGACTACACCCCGAGAGGAGGAGCATAGTGTGCAGCGTAGTAGGCGTCAGGATCCTCAATTTCCAACTTAGCATCTTGGCAGGACATTTTCCCAAGCAAAGCCCCCGTCCGACGGGTAAAAAAAAAAACTTCTGCACGGGCATGAGAGCGACGGTGCAACTCAGATAAGGGAGCAACAGAAAAACAAAACGAGACAAAACATCCGACGGGCAGCGGCTGACTGGCAGCGACCAAAACAATCCATTCAGTATCTAAGCCGATTTTTTATTTAGTCACTCTTACTTTTTTTTGTCTTCACCACTGTCATTTAGAAGGGGGGACAGACAGCGGGTCTGCAGACACACGGCTCTATGCGCTCCGACAGCAGCGCATGAGAAAATAAAGGGGGGAAAGTGCGCAAGTTAAGTGGCTTATACTCTCCGGGCTCCAGCATGGCGTATCCTCAGGGCTACTTGTACCAGCCGTCCGCTTCTTTAGCCCTGTATTCATGCCCTGCGTACAGCACCAGCGTTATATCCGGACCCAGAACCGAGGAACTTGGGAGATCCTCTTCGGGATCTGCTTTTGCGCCCTATGCCGGATCTACTGCGTTCACCAGCGCCTCGCCAGGCTACAACTCCCACTTACCATACAGTGCAGACGCGGCGGCAGCTGCCACATTCACCTCGTACGTGGTGAGTAAACTAAAGGTGATTATTCATTGTAATAGGAAGCAAAAAAAAGAAGCGAGGATATTAGCTCGTTATAGAAGATTTCAGTGTCCGCTGTGAGTCCGCTGTGAGTCCGCTGTGAGTCCAGCGATTAGGAAGAAATGTGCGTCACTGATGAGCGCATGGATATACAAAGACAGGATGGCAGGTCCAGAAAACGTGTTGTTGAGCGAACAGAACTAATTTTACTGAGTACTGTGCAATTACGTGGTCTTTAAGTTAACTGTTGTTTTTTTTATACGAAAGAGTGGGAAATGCTTTGCCGGAGCTTCCACGCTCATAACTGACTACAACGCGCGGTCTGAAGGCAATTTAGGTCACCGTATTTGTTTCTTTTCTTTCTTTTAGTTATGCGCGTTGTGAAAGTTAAATATTTCAACTTTTGAAAAATAGACAGAGAATTTTTTTTGATTTTCTATGTTGTATTCTCAGTGATTGATCTCATGGCAACACAAGTAATTCATACAGACTGCTTCTGTAGGCCTATAGTTACCACAAAGACTGATCCCATTAGAACAGGCAAAGAAACAGAATGTTAGGCCCTTCATGCATAATGTCAACACGTCAGCATAACTGCAAATTATACTATTTTAATGGCGAAAATAAATGCAGCTGTGGACTGATATCATGCAAATATTAATAAAAAATACATACAAACACAAGATCATATTTCAAATCAAGTTCAAACTAACTTGATAAACAATAATCCCAAACTTGAGCTACTGGATTAAAGCCAGTGTAATTGTGTGTGTGTGTGTGTGTGTGTGTGTGTGTGTGTGTGTGTGTGTGTGTGTGTGTTGTGTGTGTGTGTGTGTGTGTTTGTGTGTGTGTGTGTGTGTGTGTGTGTGTGTGTGTGTGGTGCATGTGTGTCTGTGCGTGTGCACGTATGTGTGTGTTCATGTTTGTCTTTTTAACTATTCTGAAGCAGTTAAGAAAAAAAAGGGAATGTGACTGAGCTTTTACACACTTTTACGTTTTTATTTTTATTACAGAGTTCTCCCTATGACCACACTACGGGTATGGCGGGCTCAATAGGATACCACCCTTACGCAGCACCCTTGGGCACCTACCCTTATGGTGACCCAGCATACCGTAAAAACGCAACCCGGGACGCCACTGCCACCCTGAAGGCCTGGCTCAATGAGCACCGCAAAAACCCCTACCCCACTAAGGGCGAGAAGATCATGCTGGCCATCATCACCAAAATGACCCTCACCCAGGTGTCCACCTGGTTCGCCAACGCCAGGAGGAGGCTAAAGAAGGAGAACAAGATGACCTGGACCCCCCGGAACCGGAGCGAGGACGAGGAGGAGGACGAGAATATTGATTTGGAGAAAAATGACGACGACGAGCCAAACAAGCCCACAGACAAGGGAGACTCCACAGACACAGAAGCAGGTCGGTGGTGCAGGAGGGAAAAAAAAAGGCAAAAAAAAAAAAAAATCATCAATTTTTCATCGCAGTCGTTTCCACTCAGGGTGCAAAATTGATTGCTGGTTAATGGTGGTATATTATTTATAATGGGACAATTGCTTTAAATAATAATCACCTTGAACTCCCCTCGTTTGACTTCTCAGGGGCTGAAATTGCTGGTGACGCAGAGTGTTTAGCAGTCAATTTATCTTTAACTGCATAATAAGGATACAGCTGCTCTACTGCGCCGGGTATTTGGTTAAAAATCACTGCCATTGTATGATAATTATATCCCAGTTTTTAACCATTGTTTAACGCTTATTATCATAACTACTGATATGAAATTACATTTTATTCCGAAAATATATTTTTAATGAAAATAGTCAGCATAATGTATGTTCAGACTTTAATTTGTACCACATTTGTTCTTGCTTGTGCAACACTGTTTATGCTCTTTCATAATTGTGGAGAGGATTTCATTCACCTTTCCAGGCTGGCACACATCTTTATGAGGTCAATTTATGGCACACACAATAACTGTTTTTCAGGAAAACCTGCATAAGCAGCCCAATTATTTTTATAGATCCGATTTCATTTTGCATTGGTGTTCACTTGCCTCACGATTACCTAAACCATATGTTAGCAGCGTTTTAATGTTGGGCTTATTTGGCAGTAATTCTGTTCTTTATTTGTGCTTTAGATCATAAACTGCTGAACCCAGGGGACATAGGCTGCGACAGATTTAAAGAGGAGAGCCATGGCAAAGACACGGATCCCCTTCTGAGCGACTCGGAGTTAAAAGACCAGGAGGAGCGGACTACAGACTTGCTGCCGGATTCCTCAAAACCAACCACTTCGTCTCCCTCGGCGGTGCCCCGGGGGAACCAGACCGTTGCGCAACAAGACAAGCCGTCAGATTTGAGCCATGCACCGGGTACGGTGACCAGCAACGTGACCTCTGTTATCCACTCGCCCCCCTCGGCCCCTAAACCAAAACTGTGGTCCCTTGCGGAGATCGCCACGTCCTCAGACAGGTGTAAGGGCAGCGGCGAGGCGCCACAGGCTTGTCCCGGTTTGGGTCAGAGCGCAGTAATGGGCACCAACGCGTCTCCATCACGGTCCTCCCCTCAGTGCCCGCTCCCCAACAGCACGGTCCTATCCAGGCCTCTGTACTACACCTCCCCTTTCTACCCCGGCTACACGAACTATGGTGGCAGCTTTGGACACCTTCACAGTAACCACGGCTCGGTAACCACGGGCTCCACGGCACATTTCAATGGATTAAACCAGACTGTGTTAAATAGAGCAGAGGCTTTGGTAAGAGAGAGCCAGAAAGTCAGAGGCCAAACGCAGGTAGATCTTTGTAAAGACTCCCCTTATGAACTAAAGAAAGGTATGTCAAACATTTAATACCTGATATTTTCCACTCACCGCGGACTTTTATTTATTTTTTGTGGTTGCATTAAAAAAAAAGAAAAAGAATGATGAAGCAAATTCTAAGAACAGTTATTTTCTGAGTAAATGCTTATCCTCAAATTTTTAGTTTCTGAATGGTTAATCCTAAAATGTAACAAGAATGGTCTTAATCGCTGCAGCCGCCTGAGTCTATTTGTATTAAAGACTAACATGTATATTTAATGTAGCATTTTTGTATTTAAAATGGACAACACACTATCTTTGAAGTAAATTATGGAAAAAATACATACTTGTGCAGCGATTATTTGGGGGAGCAGTTGGAATGACCTGATATGTGTCTGAAGTGTTTTAAGGCCAGTTGATCTATACAAAATATTATTACAATTTCGCACAGTGACAGATGTTTCAATGGTAATTATCATTTCGAAATATCATGGTAGTGAGAGAGGACATGGTAAAAAGAAAAGGCCTACATTCAGCAAAAGGATGTTGGGATATCTAAACAAGTGATGGGCTCAGTTTCGTTTTGGTTGGTGCAAACATTCAGAGGATTTTTTTTATTTTATTTTTATTTTTTATTTATTTTTTTGTGTGTGTATGAAAATGCTGAAAACAACACGGACGTGCATTTTGGTCTATGGCTTATCAACAGTTTATATTTATCCTTAAAATACATCCAGGGCCTCCTTTTTTTTTTTTTTCTTTAACTTAAGCACGTTTCTAAAAGTGGATATTGATATAATAACAACACCGAGGCGCAGTCATTTAACCCAATTACCTATCGTGTTTTATGCAGAGCAATCAGGTGGTGAACTCCGGTAATGAGCTCGATTTTATGCCAAATTTAGACCTCATTACTATTTTCCAAGGCGTGGCAAAGCTGTTAAGAGGGACGCGACCATGCATTTAGAACATACTGCCCTATTATATATCATTAATGGAGAGTCTCTTTAATGGCGCGTTAGATGTGAAACATAGCTGTTTGGAGAAAAGGGAGAAAGCTGTGATGCACACAGCAGAGACAGACACATGCACTGTGAAGCCGGTAGCCAGGCACTGTCCTCTAACTCTTCCAACTTCTGCAGGTAGGTGTCACACTTGCTCCTAATTTCAGGGGGACTCTTTGTTAATCCGTCACGGAAACCCATCCCTGATCAAATGGCCTGGTTAAAAAGAAGTGGAGCCAATGGGGCACACACAATGATCACAGTTATTATGAGGATTATAGCAACTTTGACAAGTGGATAAAAAAAGGCACGAATTACATATTTGACCGACATGCAGAACAAAAAACATAAGGCTATTTCCCACTGCAGATAAGAAAGGTGGATTTTTTTTTCCTGATGGTTTATTGAGGTTGGAATTATACATTCAAAAACAGAAAAAGTGATTGTCGTATCAAACACGTTATTATTATTAATTATTATTATTATTATTATCATTATTATTATCATCAGATTATTATCATTTTATTACCATCAGTATCATAATTATTTTGAAGCCTCATCAGTATTGCAAAGAGGCCACTAAGCCTTAGTAGCATAGGCCTCAATTTCTTTTTGAAATGTTTAAAATGCGACTTAGGCTATATGCGTGTATGTTTGTGTGAGTGTGTGTGTAAATATATATATATATATAGTATATAACTATATATATATATATTATATATATATATATATATATATATAATATTAAATAAAAAATGCTATATTTATGGCTATGCTAATATTTATTTTAATTTATTTTTTTTATTTGTTTAACAGTACATTTTAAATAACTATTGCTATTTCAATTACATAGTTTTTTTATATTATTATTATTATTATTATTAATTATTATTATTATTATTATTTTAATTGTTATTATTGGTGCTGTTATTGTTGACCTCCACTGAAGTGGGACAGCATGCTCTTGTTTATGGCTGCCATTAATCTCTATAGTTTACTTTCCCCTTCTCCAGTTTGAAATCTCCCCTGGGGTTTATAAAATTCCCTCAGCCTTAATGTCCTCTATTCGGGCCCTCTATTTTAATCTGACAGAGTGTGCTGGAGCAGTGATTGCGACACATCAGCCGGCTAAATAGCATAATTATGTTTTTCTTTGCTGATCCCCGGGGGATTGAGCTGTTCGATGCAATGTCCCCTAAGAGAGTATTAGAGTTTTATTAGAAATTGCGTTGTTTTCTCAGAATTGATTGAAGAAGTCATGTTTCACAGGGACAACATATACACACGATTTCTGGGGTGCAAATCATCTGTGTGAGGCCAGGTAAATACTGTGACGTTTATGTGTCAAATAGGTTTGTCATGTTTTTGTGTGTGTGCGGGAGGATGTGGTGTTACAGCGCTGCGAGTCAAGCGCACAGCCGCTTGATGATGTTATTCCAATTAACTTTCTCAGTATAAAAATAGACGGGACACGTTGAGAGGATGATCATCTAAACTGAGACAGCGACCAGGGGGCAGGCGTGATAAAACATGTCTGACTGCTGAAATGGCTTATTTCAACACTTTTTGTACAGTGCTGTTTTACGATAGAGATTATTTTGTGGTGTTTTTTTTTCCCCTAATGATGTTCAAATTCACCATTCAGCTTTGTCTCCCCCCACTGTTGTTGATCACATCACACCCAGTGGGAGAGAAAACACAAGAGGTCTTTGATGCTCCTGTCGAGTCTGCATTAATCCTTTGCACTGTAATTGATTATATAGCCTATTTATTATTATTATTATTATTATTATTATTATTATTATTATTATTATTATTATTACTGTGTCCCTTTGGAAAAATGTTAGAGGTCAAAGTATTTTAAATAGATATATTATATTTTCATTAACAGCAGAGGTATATGGGGGGGAGGGGGGGGGGGCGCGACAGCTTTGATGTCACTGTATTTCAGCTCTTCATGTTCACTATAGGGCTGCGTATAAAAAAAAATCCTTTCACCAATTAAAAAATATATATATTTGATCGTTGATTATACTTGTTCTATTTCTGGGCCTGATAAAAAAAGACAGTCCATTAACCCCAGATTACTTGAGGAAGCGGAGAGAGAGAATTTGCAACCCTTCATCAGAGGCACGATAGCCTACAGGGGAGATCCTCTCTGCAACTTTATACAACTCGGTCTCTGGCTTCCCCTCCACTTGAATGGCGTGTCGGCTCATTGTTGGGATTGCTACAGTGTGAGAATACTAAGTAGGGGTGAAACCGTTCCCACGTGTGAAAATGGGGGAAATAATCCGACAGGAGAAGAAGCAGAAGAGAAAAGAGGAGGATAAGGTCTGTACCCTTCACTCCGACTTTGTTACTGTTCAGCCTTCACAAGCAGATTCCGGGATGTTTGAAAAAAAAAAAAAAAGTTTCTTCTTACTGTCGTCATATCAATTAAACGATGTTTTTTTTAAACTAAAAGGCCACTGGCTACATGAAGTCTGAAGGCCGCGATTTAACGCTTCATTACAATTTACTGAATTAAATTTTATATATCCTGCTCAGGCCTGAAAAAATAAAATCCAATTTTTTTGTCCACCTGTCTATAATCGAATCCATGCGTAAATAGTAAACCTACCGCGTGTACTGCTCCGAGTAGGCCTTTCCAAATCCAAATTAATAATAATAAGAATATCCTGATATAAAATTTTAAAAAATTAAAAAACTGACGATACAACTGTCGGATTTTTTGACACATACAGAAAAGACAGCGACAGATTCTTTGCGGGCTACTCTGTGGATGATCACACCTTATTTATGCAGATTTACTCTAAAAGTAGATACGACATTTACGTGCCTACTTCAGTGTGTTGGTGTCACGAGGGAGACTTTCAGTGGTGACTGAAAATAGTGCTAATATAAGACTAATGAATAACAAGAGTAAACCGTGGTTTCTTGTTTGTTTTCGAGACTTTTGGGAACTACAGGATTTAATGAAGTAAAGTTAAGTCTGGCATTTGTGGCCCCGTATAATCCCTTTATTATTGTAATCATCTGTGCAGCCCAGTGTGCAGGTTTATCACAGGTAAAGCCACCTAATCCAAAATTTGTCTACCACTCAATTTGGTTGTCCACTGTGTAAGTGCATGGGATATTTAGACAACAAAAGCTTAATGGTGTCAGATTAACCCACCTAAAAGCCCCTTTTCCTCTTAAAGGAGTTTACGCTTCTTTTCATGCTGGTATAAATATTGAAAATTCATAGCACCGGCTAAATTAAAGCATACGAAGACATTTTCAAATGTGCAATTTAATTGTTTATATGAAATCCCATTTAATGTACTGGAAATCGCCATCTTTTATTTGACCTCACACAAAACGGACCTGCTGCAAAATACAAGGCTGAAATATCAGGAGTTTGCCAGGAGATGTGCTGCAGGGGCAGACTTGTGAGGAAACTTGGAGCTGTGGACCAAACAGATTAGACACCTGCCACCGGACAGTGGACGCCTCTCAAATGCTACTGTATGTCAGACCACAAGGTGAAACCAAAACCTGTTGATACACACACTCCCAATATCAGCGCACTATTACTCAGCGGACCAGACGGTACACCGTATAAACAGCCCGCTGATAAAACGTCCGTCTACACGATACAACACATACTAGCTGGGGTCAAATTCAGCTCAAATGTGTAAATAGACACCCGCTGTACTTGACCTGCGCAGTTTATTCGCAGGGGGGCATGAGCAGCAACACAAGTGTTGCCAAATGCGATAAAAAAAAAAGAAAAAAAAAAAAGAGAGAGATAGAGAGAGGTCTGAAATAAAAGGAGGGCGGCTTTTTCAGAAAAGGAGGTCGTTCATATCTGTGACTGGAACGAACTCGGCTGTCGAGATACTTGTTTTCCCTGGATTTTCACGTTTCCTCTTCAAAAATAGCCTTCAACTTCAAAAGCAAACCAAAAAAAATAAAAAATCACTGCAATGTTTTACAGGGACCAGCTGTGTGTCTGTGGCAGGCAGGCACACATTTCCCCCTAAACCCTATATCTTATGATATGCTGCTATATTCTTATACGTTGTTGTTTTGTTTGGCTGCTTGCTTCTTTTCTTTCTTTTTTTTCTTTTTTTTTTTGCTCTGATTTATTTTTTTTTTCTGCAACCCTTGCATAATGTGCCACACTCACTTCTTTCTTTCATTAAGTGTAAAACCGTAAAGGAGTGAGTGACTCTCCTTCAGTGAGGCTCAGTGAAGAGTTCAGTAACTGCTCACGGCTATTTAATCATCATCATTTGCTAAATGAGAAGGCTAATTAAGGACACAATGCTTCAGCTTTAGTCTTCTGGCGAGACATGAGACTTGAGACCGCAGTCGACAGGATCTGCGCCGTGTTCGGGTAAAAACAACTTGTAAAACGAATTCAGTTTTTATCCCACTTCAAATCAAACAATTGACTTATAAAATGTGTGTATATCCACCCACTCCTGGAACCATGGTAAAAAAAAAAAAAAAAAAAAAAATGAGTGAGTCTCAAGCCTTTGACACCTCCAACGTTCATGTTAAGTGGAGTTATAAAACGGTCTTGAGCAGACTGTAAAGCGGCCCAGATAAGGTGGCAGAGAGTGATTTACCACTATTTTTTTGCACTTCACTGACTGTTTTTCTATTTCTCCATAGAGCTCCTCTGGGAGAGATTACACGTGTAATTTTCAGCTGTGAGATGTTTTAAGTGACCTCCCCCCAACATAAATAAAACATTTCTATGAAGAAGGGGGAAAAAAAACATTAAGGGAGAGTGATGAACTATGAAGTCCTAGGAGGCCAGGGGCTGGTTAGGAAAATTGAGGGATTGAGTTACAGTGGCAAATAATAATAATAAGTCTATTTAGGTATAGATGGGTTGTTAAAATGTGTTCATTACTTGAAATAAAAATATAACAGATTTTTTTTTTTTTTTTTTTTTTTTTTTTTTAAAGGTGATCGTTTACATTCAGGGTTGGATAATTATATAATCATCCTGAATTCTCCAAAATGTTTCAACTGTGCAAACTAATTCTCTAATTTCAATGTATAAATAACATGACACACACAAACACACGCATGCAGGCACACACAGCCCTTCTCTGAAAGCACCTTGACTCCTTGAAAAGGGCTGCTCATTGACCAATCTGCTCTGACAGCAGTATGGCGTGAGCTTCTGACCCTGTGACTGCAAAGGGTCTGTGTTCAGTGGCCATGTAAGGGCTTACTGGTGCTCACACTGGGGGTTTCTGCCCTGCCCTGGAGGAGGTGATGTGCACACATATATACACACACACATATACACACACACACACACACACACACACACACACACACACACACATGCAGGAGGGACTACTATTCCACGCCAAAGCCCCTCAGGTATGCACAGCCACAGAGCAGTAAGTGTGTGCATCCAGTCTGGAGGTGGAGACACCGGTA